ATGTGTATTTGAATCAGATTTTTATTTCTTATTCTAGAGGTTGACAAAAGAAACTTGCCAATGCATCTAAAAGTCTCCTTCCCTTGGCTAGTTAGTTAGGTGATATATTTTCGGGCTTTGGTAGAGGGTTTAAATTCTAAAGAGTGAGCTTAGTATATGATCTACACATTGTTTTATAGATTTTTTTCCTTTGAGTTAGTTGTCAGCTGAAAAATCAGTGAATTTTGTCAGCACAGCACTGAGCTTGAATTTCCAAGTGGCAGTAGTCAGGTGCATTGCTCACCCTGGTGCTCCCCCCTCCCCATTATTTTAATTGCCAGAGAGACAGAGAGAAAGCACCCCTGGTGGGGTGTAGTCTTGTTGCAGTCCCTTCTCCATTTCTCCATCCTGTCCAGGTTTTGGTGAGGCTCACCAAATGCACTCGGTATTTTTTTAAGCTGCTGGGTCCAGGATTCAAACCACAGTTGGCATGTGGAGTCCAGCTTCCTCTAGCCACCAGACTACGGGGCTGGTCCTGGGTTGCTCCTTTTTACATGGATAAGTATTTCCCAGTTTACCACTTCACACCACTCTGTTGTCTCGTTTGACATTTGTCAGGGAGACAGAGAGACAGAAAGCAAGAAATCACCCCCCAGGGGGGTGGCCATGCTGCAATCTCTTCATTCTTCTCTTGGGATCTTGGGCATGCATTCACATGCACCTGGTGTGAGTTTTTTTCCAAAGTATTCTTTTATTTAATTTTATTTACTTATTTTAATTTGACCAGAGAGGGACAGAGAGAGAGAGAGGAAGTGAGAAAGCAAGCTGCCAGGTCCAGGACTCGAACCGTGGTCAGCCATGTGAGAGTCCAGCGCCCTTAACCACCACACTACCTGCCAGCCCCCTGGTGTAAGTTTTAAGCTGCTGGGTTCAGGACTTGAACTGTGGCCAACTATGTGGGAGACCAGCAGCGTAACCATTACACCATCTGCTGGTTTCTGTCATTATTAGTTCTTTTAAAAATTTGACCAGAGAGAGAGAGACAAGACAGAGGGGCAGAGTGAGAAAGCAAGCTGCCAGGTCCAGGACTTGAACTGTGGTTAGACATGTGGTAGTCAATCTTAACCACCATGCCACCTGCTAGCCTCCTTGTGCAGCTTTTTGAACCTTCCATCAGGGTGTTCTGCCCAGGGCAGAGCTGAAACTGCTTTGTTGCCAGGTTTGGTCTGCCAGGGGTCTTTAAGCCACTCTTCTTCACCTCAGAGACGACCTGATCAGAGCCATCAAGAAACTAAAGGCACTCGGCACTGGCTTCGGCATCATCCCCGTGGGTGGTACTTACCTCATTCAGTCTGTCCCGGCCGAGCTCAATATGGATCATACTGTGGTGCTGCAGCTGGCAGAGGTACTGGTGTGCCTGCCCAGGGGTGCATGTGCAAGGGGCAGCTGGGGAGTCTGGAGCATTCTCATCTCCCTGCTACTCGGGTCTTTTTTGTTGTTGTTGTTTTTTTTTTTTTTTTTGCTATAGGGTGCGTGCATTTGCCAGAAAGAGAGACACAGAGAAATCCCCCCCCAGGGGGGATGGCCACGCCACAATCCCTTCTCCTCCATTCTCCTCTCGGGATCTTGGGCATGCATGCACGCGCACCCGGCGTGAGTTTAAGCCACCGGGGCCAGGACTCGAACCACAGTTGACTATGTGGGAGTCCAGCGACGTAGCCATTATGCTAACTGCTGGTCCCATCTACTCGGGTCTTTTCCTGAGACTTACGTATGAACTACTCGCACCTGTGCTTGTTCAGCAGTTTATTGAGCAGCTGCAGTGCGAAGCACTGGGCCAGCTGTGGGGCATGTAAAGATGGGTGTGATCAACAGTTCCTGCTCTCCAGGAGCTCCCAGTCTAGTTGCACAGACAGACACGCAGGCACTATCTGTTCTCAGCACAGCCAGACCATTGTCTTAAACTACTTGACAGATTCTTCAGAATGGATTTTTTACCTTGTTTGCCAGTACCCCACTCCTCAGCATGCCTTAAACATTACCGTGTTCTCCCAAATCCCTACCATGTATTTAGGGATGACACGTTCAGATTTTTTTTTTTTTAACGTTAATTTTAACAGAGAGCAAGAGCCTCCAGGTCTGGGAGTCGAACCATGATTGGCCATGTGGGAATTCCAGCGCCTTAACCACCACGCCACCTGCTGGTTTCCCTCAGTTTTCTTAATTCTCCAATGTAAAAACTAAGGAAGGAAGGGGCTTTTCTGTATTGGTGGACAGGTAGGGTGAGGAGGGCAAGGGCTGAGTATTTCAATATTTTATATGAACGGTTTATGATGATCTCATTCCTTCCTATCTCAGTTATTCTTGCGTTTCCCTTGTCATACTCGAGGATTCTTGAGTGGAAGCCTAACTTAATGTCTTTATAGCAGGGATCCCACTTTTTAATATTGTACCCACCACACCCTGAAGTCACTTACTTTGCTCTTTGCTGGAAACTCTGAATATCCTTTTTCTGTGCTCTCCTGTGTGGCCCCAGGGTAGGTCTTCCTCCCTGGGTTTAGTTACTGCTCCAGGTCAGATGCTGGGTTCTAAGGGAAGGCACATTAACTGACTCAGTCCCCCTTCCTCCTTCCTTCAGAAAAACGGCTTCGTGACTGTCAGTGAAATCAAAGCTAGTCTTAAATGGGAAACTGAGCGAGCTCGGCAAGTGCTGGTATGTGGCTGGAATGGCCCCAAAAGATGGGCTGCAGAGGGAGGTGTGGGTGGGGAGCTTCCACTCAGGTGGGACCTTCTGCCTTGCTCTGCAAAGCCTCTTGCCTGGAAGGCTACAGCTGCCACACTAGAGGTAAGCCCAGCATTTCCCTGGAGGTGGCACTGGAAGGTAGAACTCACTAAGGCAGGCTTCTGTTCTGGCATGCGGGTAATACCAGGCTGTGCTGCTGCTGGGGAACCACCCACATCTGCTGGGTCTCCTGGGTGCATCGAGCCTGGAGTCGCCAGTCGGCATTAACAGTCTGTACTGGAAGTGACAGTATCGAGGGAAGGGAAATGGTAACTACTTTACTTACACATTACTCATTACACACTAAGCACTATATTGCATATTATACAGTATAGTTGATACATACACATTTTATGGTACTGATGAGACTGACGTGAAGAGGGAGCAGCATGAGAACCTAGTAGCTCTGGCCTTGGTACCTTGTCCTCATCCTGGCAGTGTAGCCATCTGGACACTTCATTTCACTTGTAAAATGGAGTTGCCAAAAATATGTCTCCCCCCCCCTCCCCAATTGAGTTTATTTCCTGCTCTAGGAACTGAGTCCATTCTAACATGAATATAGTCCTTTGCATCTGTTACCCAGGAAGTTAACTCAAAGGTAGCAAGAAGAGATCCTTATTTTGCTTCTAGGAAAATCGAGGCAGCGGTTTGCTCAGAGCCATACAGCAGGTATTTCTGTAGCCCTACATTCTTTACGCTGCATCCCAGTATACTTGGTTTTATCCTCTCTCCCCCAGCAGAACAAATTAAATGACTTGGTAGCATTTTTCACACATCGGGCAAAGGACAAGGCCAAGCCATCATTCCAGTTTGGTTGTGCAAATGTGTCAAGGCACTCATGTATATTTAGTTTGAAAACCTCTCTGAAACCAAAATAGATTTGGGGATTGCTTAACTATTCCAGTCTGAGACCTCCTCTTTCTCAACTGACTCTTCCTTTTTCCTCCAGGAACACCTGCTGAAGGAAGGGCTGGCCTGGCTGGACTTGCAGGCCCCAGGGGAGGCCCACTACTGGCTGCCAGCTCTCTTCACTGACCTCTACTCTGAGGAGATCACAGCTGAGGAGGCCAGAGAAGCCCTCCCCTGACTCAGTGTGGAAGGGCACACAGCAGTAGGCAGGGGGAAGAGGGAGGGCCTCCTGATGAATAAACCCAGACAGTTTTGTTTATATAAAAAAGAAAATAGAAAAAGTTCTAAGTTTTTCTTTTCTTCCCCCAATACTTTATTTTTAAAAAAAGTCTCCACATTGCATCTTCATTGGAGAGAGCCTCATTTATCCCATAAGGATAACCTAGTAGCAGACAATAGCAAGTGCATTGAAATGCCTTGCACACTAGCAAGTGCATTGAAATGCCTTGCACAGGACACCTACATGTTCATGGGCACGCTGGGCCGAGTGTAGGTGTAGGGCTCTCCTGGCTGGCTGGCTGGCCTAGAATCTTTGAAACCATGAGACATAAACTTCACCCTCTAGTAATTCAGGTTGCTATCTAGTAAACGTGCTTGATCTCAGACTAGCAGACTCTTAACGGACCAGAAAATAAGTCAGTCTCCTCTAGCTTTCTTTGTAGAGGCTGCAGGCTATGAGACTCCGCTGTGAGTGTGAAGGAACGTCAGTGTTCAGTGGTAATAGAATGGGAAGAAAAAGCAATGGAATTTGAGGGAAATCAACAGTGAATGCTATCTTCTGTTCCTCAAATTCCTTACTAGCTTTCCCTGAACTCCCCTCCAGGTCCTGCGAGCCTCAGTGCTTGGACGGGGACTCATTTACTGAACACATATGCTGTGCTGTTTTTCATATATACACCTCAGGTAATCCTCATAGCGGCTTTCAAAGTTTAGGTATCTTTAACGTCACAGATGAGTCAGTCTCGCTTTATCTGACCACCAGCTTAAGCAGCCCAGAGCTCAGTCTGTTAACCCAAGTCCATATATTCCTGTATCAAAGCTTTGCACGGTGTAGGCCAGCAGGACATACAGCATGTATTTCTTACACACATGGTCAGCCAAGAAGAAAAGCCTCTGCACCAGAAAGCAAGTCTCTCATGGAAAGCAAAAGTGATAAGGGGAAAGGCCAGAAGTTCCAGGCTCTTGGTTTTCACGGTCTAAATACTGAATACCTAAGCAGTGCTCGTTCTGTACTAGAAAATCAAAAATCAAGTGGCCGTTCCATACTCGAGACACCCTCCCTTCAATACGAGAACTCCCCTCCAGGTCCTGCGAGCCTCAGTGCTTGGACGGGGACTCATTTACTGAACACATATGCTGTGCTGTTTTTCATATATACACCTCAGGTAATCCTCATAGCGGCTTTCAAAGTTTAGGTATCTTTAACGTCACAGATGAGTCAGTCTCGCTTTATCTGACCACCAGCTTAAGCAGCCCAGAGCTCAGTCTGTTAACCCAAGTCCATATATTCCTGTATCAAAGCTTTGCACGGTGTAGGCCAGCAGGACATACAGCATGTATTTCTTACACACATGGTCAGCCAAGAAGAAAAGCCTCTGCACCAGAAAGCAAGTCTCTCATGGAAAGCAAAAGTGATAAGGGGAAAGGCCAGAAGTTCCAGGCTCTTGGTTTTCACGGTCTAAATACTGAATACCTAAGCAGTGCTCGTTCTGTACTAGAAAATCAAAAATCAAGTGGCCGTTCCATACTCGAGCGAGACACCCTCCCTTCAATACGAACCCACCTCTGCCTATCCTTGGAGATCACACTCACTCACTCATAGCTCCCAACTAGGTATCCGGAAGCTACCAAGACCCAAATTCCCTCTGGTTGCCTGCCAAAACCAGCCTTCATATTCATTCCTAACTAGAAAGCCTATTACCAACAGCCCTATTTTTGTGAGACCACCCCCGCCAAACAACTCACTCAGTATTTTTGACAGGTCTAGGTGAGGTGGTTGTCCAGATGGCCCCATTCCTCCCACACCTACAAGTGCTTCCTCCTTCTGCCAAAACAAACTTTATTGCACCAAAAAAAAAAAAAAAAAACTTCATTTATGTACAGATATAAAGACATCTCTTTGACTCGTGTGCATATATTTCCTCAACTCAAGATTAGGGCGTAAAAGTCAGGCTGCTATGCCAGACATGCTCTGCCCATGGCAGGGCTAAGGAGAGGATTGTCACTTGAAAGTGGGAACACTTAAATGGATGACAGACAACACTGGACCCACAGATCAGGGGCATTCTTCCAAGCCCTGGACTAGCTCTGGGAATGGAAGAGAGAAATTGGAAGCAGGGTCCCTTGTTGTCTCCATGTGGAGACCCAGCATTCAGGTATCTAAGATACACTTCTGCTCAAGCCCACCACTTCCTGTCCAGTTTCTTCACTTCCTGCCCTCCCAAGTAGGACATTCTCCTTTGTGCCCACCCCTCCCCCCACCCCCCAGCTCCCCCTAGGGGAGTCTCATGATCCACAAGGCAGAGACCTTCATAGCAGCGGGCAGGGCAGGTATGTTATCCTCTCCCTTATGCATGGCTGGATACTGACTGAGGCCCTGTGTCTCATGGAACACCAATACCCCACTGGGAGCCATAACAGTAGGAATCTGGAATTACGGGAGAACACATCAAAAAGGGGAAGGATGGATTCCCTTGATGCCCATCATTAAAGGGCACCTAAAGCACATTTTTCAGAGCCAACCAGCTAAAGGATCACTGCAGCTAAATACAGATAGAGAAGCAACACAGCCAGGCAAACACTCATCAGAGCCAGTGACAAAGAGCAGCTGGGAGGGAGGGAGGGGAGAGGGGAGGAGTCTCCAGAGTCCCAGCCCCAACCCCCTTCTGCCATTGGCTACCCTTGCTCCCCACAAATCCCTGGGGGTTGAAATGAGAAGGGGACTACAGGTGGGGTGAAAACACGAGGGCAGCCTAACAAAATACAATAGGACTAGCATCAGTCTCGCCTTTGCACCTCACCCCTGAAAGACCCTTATTGTGACTAGTACTTATGAAAATCTGTACTCTTTTATGCAGTGGCTCTAATCCCATACACACAACAGCTGTGTCAGGAACTTTTCGAATCAGTGATTACAGGAATAAATGGTATTTTCAGCTTCTTATGGTGCCTGTGCAGGCTTTAACCGTGACCTTGGTTCAGTCCAAGTCACATTTACCTTGTCTTAAATCTAGAAAAGGGTGAGGAAATGGGGGCAGGGGAGAAAGGTGCTCAGGTGCTAGGTAAAGCTTACTGATCAGCAGCCTAGACTCCACCACTGTTCCTTCTCTTTGGTCTGTCTAGAACAGTGACTATAAATTAGGAAACATTATGCTGGCCCATGGGAAATAACAAAGGGGAGGCAGAGAGGAAAAGGGCATTGGGAAGCCCTGCTTCAAGACTGCAGACAGAGCCCACCCAGACTGCTTAAGTGTCACAAACAACGCTCCCACCCAAGCTCCCTTCCAGATAGCCCGATAATCACTCGGGTTCACTCCCTCTTGGAATTGCAATTTGTCTTCCACCTATCCCTAAGGAGCTGGCCCTGTGGAGAGGTGTGTTGGTTGTTTTGTTTTTGCCAGAGGCCCTCGCCCTAGGTGCTCTTGTAAAGGTGCCTTGGCCTGACAGGGGATTAACATAGCCCCAGATGCTCCAGTGCCAAAGAGTTCAGGTCACAAATAGCCCCCCACTCCCATGCCCTAGGAGCCGAGTTTGCTTGGTTCTTGCCATCTTGCAGGATGACGTCACGTCTGGAGGGAGATACACGGTGCCTCTCCATTCCTGGGGTGGGGGGAAGGGACTCTGCTGGGACTCTTGAATGGGGGAAGGGGTGAGGAAAACAAGGTCTAAACCCTCAGGCTCCCGTGCAGGTCTGTCTCTGTCCCAGAAGAGCTGCTGTCAGAGTCCATTTCGGCATTCTCATTATGGAGCCTCTCCAGCACTTTCTGCCGAATCAGTCCCAGGCGCATCAAGAGGGACTGGTAGTCAAAATGGCCCCGCTTCTCTCCAAAAGGGTCCTGTGGGGAAAGGAGAAATGGGAGAGTCAAGCTCAGTGGCTCACCGTAGAGAGGGCAGCTTTGTCATTTGGAATGCAAGCTCAACTTCAGAGCCACGCAAACAGAAGAGCACATAGCACAGCACAAGTGGTCCCAACAGCAGACAACATAACCTTTATTTAGGAGTATTATGGCATGTTTGCCAATAGGTCTAGCTTGGGCTAACATTAAAGTGTGTTGGCAAACCGATATGCAGAAGGGGGCATGGTAAAGATAGGATAGGTAGGGAAGAGAAACTTAACATCAGACTATAATCGCTAAAGGAACCAGTGTTCTCAATTAACTGCATACAAACCATAGGAAAGAAAAACTGTCCTTTGTTTTCTATATTCAGAAAGGGTAATTTTCCTTTTTAATTTGCCAGAGGATGCATGTGATCTTCAGACAGACAGAGACTAAGAGAAAGAGAGATAGTACCCCACACCCCCCAGGGCATGCTAACACGATAATCCCTTCTCAATTTCTCCCTCCTTTTGGGATTTTTGGGCACACACACTCAGCACATTACTGAAGCCACTGGGTCTGGGACTCAAACCATTCATCTGGTTATGTGGGATCCAGTTGCCATGAGCTGGCTAGATGTTTTTCTTTCTCTTTTTTTTATTTGAGAGAGATTTTTGCTATAGGGCGTGTGTGCTCACCAGAGAGACAAAAAGCAAGAAATCAACCCCCCCCAACCCTCAAGAGGTATGGCTGTGCCACAATCCCTTCTCCTCTACTCTCCTCTCGGGATTTTGGGCACGCACCTGGTCTAAGTTTTAAGCTGTCGGGTCCAGGATTAGAACTGCAGTCGACTACATGGGGATCCAGCAATGTGACTATTACACCATTTGCAGCTCCCACTATTTTGCTTTTTCTGAGGTCACAGGCAGGTGGAGAACTCAAAAGTTCAGACTTCCAGATAAGCACCTGAACTCTTCCCCAGGGACCCATCACTAAATTCCTGTCCGAGTTTCTAGCATCACTCCAGGGCCACCCAGCCATGATCTCAGATCTTGTCATTCAAGATCAAAGAACTCTAACCATTGTTATAAAGGCTTATTGTCCTCAAAGTCTCTGAAATAATTACTGTGGAGGACTAGCTCTGTAGTGCAACACTTAAGGACTGCATGGTGAATGCTGGATCCCACTTGGCCAGCCAGGGTGTGAGTTTCGGCCCAAGGAGCTTGAAAAACACGTCAGGCACGTGCATGTATGTCCTGGAGCCTGACAGGATGGAGAATTAGAGGACAAAGGACTGCAGTGTGACCAGGCCCTGCTTGCGGGGAAGTGTTTTCTCTACCCACCCCCATCTTATGCTCACATGAAAGAGGGTATACATGTGCCCCCTGGCATTCTAAAAGTGGTTAGAGTGGAGGGTGTAATGAAAAATTTAAAACGCTATACAGGGACTTTGGCAGCAAGTAGTATGACGAAGGTTCAAACAAACGGAGACCTCTTTCCTTGGCAGTCATAAAAGGGTAACACTTTTCCTTTTCATATTCTGTTTGCTTCTCTCGGGAAAACCCCTTCCACATCTCAGCCCACACATTACCCTCCTGGGCAGGATGCCAGTCACAATCACTGTGATACAGGCCTCAAGAGGGTGATACTCCCTGAAGGTTTAGCTCCACTTACTTGGAGCTATCGATTCTCCCATCTTCCTTCTCTCAGCCTTGGCTCTACTTCCCCACCCGCCTCTTCCCAGATGCTGCCCTTCCCTTCTTGTTCCTCATCAGTTTTTTTCCTTCAGAGACTGAACATTAGTAATGCTGCTGGACACCAGCAATGAGAATACCTGTCAGGCAACAAACCAGGGCAGACATCATCAAAGGGCTTAAGAGATAAGGTAACACTGAGCCTACTTGGCCCTCTGAGCCTAAATGAGGTGGGTGGGCAGGAAGTCCTTGAAGGAAAAAGAGAGAAGCTACTATTTGATAGGTTGTCAAAAAAGTCATGACATGCTTTTCTATGCAAAACTACATCATGACTTTTCTGTCAACCCAATATAAGCAGAAGGGAGGAAGGAAGACACCTATACTCCTCAGGCTACTGATGCTGGTGGTAGGAGAAACAGCTCAGGAAGAGCTGGAGAGCCTTAAAAGATCTGTTATTACCCAAATCAGTCCAGTTCTAAGCAAGACCCCCAGTAAGTGATCTGAAGACGTAAGAGCCAACCCTCCAGAACAGAAGGGTTCTCATCTTCTCCCTAACCAGGTCATGTATACTGGGAGTCTATTTACAATTTGGTCAGGAAGAACTCTTTTTTTTTTTTTTTTAAATTTTGTAGGCACGTGTACTAGTCCTATAGAAAAATGATCAGACAGGAGACAGAAAAAGAAAAAAGAAAAAAAAAAGCCTTAGGGAGAATAGTCACTCTGCAATTCCTTCTCCTGTCATGATTTTGGGCACATGAGCACATGTGCCTAGTGTGTTTCTCAAAAACAAAAATTAACCTTTTGGTTCAGGGCTTGAATCACAGAGTCAACGGTATGAAATCCAGGCCACCGGCTGGTCCAAAGGACCTCTTTTTAAAAACAAGCCTGAAGGGCTGGTAGGTGGGGTGGTGGTTAAAGGTGCTGGACTCCCACATGGCTAACAGTAGTTCAAGTCCTGGACCTGGTGGCTTGCTTTCTTGCTTTCCCCTTCTCTCTCTCTCACTCTGTCCCTCTGGTCAAATTACAATAAATAAAGTTAAATAATTCTTATTAAAAAAATTAAGGCCAGAATTCTGTATTCTTACTAGAAACAAAAACATGTCTCTCCAGTAAATGCAGAGAATGAACAGCTGGTTAGCATCTTTGGAATAGGAATCTTTCAATATGACACTGTGCATCCAGTTTCTCTAAACTACCTTTCTATATGAGAACTCTTTAGGCCTAGGGACAGAATTCGAACAGATGATGTTTATACTCTCTGAGATTCTGAGAGGGCTGAATATTCTTGGCTTGAAAAGACTACTGACCAAAAAAGGAAGGAGCTCCTGCCTAGAAAACAGGACGATGAAGATTTTATGAATACTTTACGCAAGGAACTTAGAACCAACACCTTATGCCTTTAGGTATGTCTGTCTCCTCTCTGGGCTTCAGTTCCTCAAACGATACAGATTCCTTTTAACTATGACATTCTTTGAGAGTTGTGGATGTCACCCTTGTGGGAGAATAGGGGGTATATTATAAGGTCTGCTGTCAGGCTTCTGCAATTAACAGCAGTGCTGTATTACCTGCATAGTCTGGCCTTGGAGGTGCAGGCGATCTTTGCAGGCTACCTCATAGAAGTCATAATACTCCAGGAAGGACTTCTCCATTACCCCTCTGGAAAACAAGCAGTGACACATAAGGCAGCAACCTGGGGGAACAGGTCATACCCTTGCCATCTAACCTTAATCTCAAATTAAACAGCTAGGCTTCCCAAGCCCAAGGTTTCCCACAAAGATCTCTAAATGGAAAATGGAACACCTGTTGCTCATGATTGATTTCTCATATACTTTAGGAATTATAAAATGAGAGTGACTGTCATATCATCTGAATCCCAACTTTAATGCAGGACTAGCTCAATCTCAAATTACTTTCCATAGATCATCCCTGATCTCAAACTTTATTCACATTTCTCCTAGAAATCTGCTGGGACCAGCAGTTAGCGTAATGTCTATGTTGCTGGACTCCCACGGAGTTGACCGCGGTTCGTGTCCCGGACCTGGTGGCTTAAAACTCACGCTGGGCGCATGTGCGTGCGTGCCCAAGATCCCGAGAGGAGAACGGAGGAGAAGGGATTGCGGTGTGGCCATCCCCCCTGGGGGGTGATTTCTCGCTTTCTGACTCTCTGTCTCTCTCCGTCTGTCTGGCGAGCACATGTGCCCTATAGCAAAAACCTCTCTGAAAAAAAAAATCTGCTTAAGTAACTCTTACTCGGTACACTTAGTTTCAGCACTTAAAATAAACTTGTATACTAAGAAATGGTTTATTACAAAGTGCTCTACACTTCCTATGGCTGTAGGACAGTCAGTGTATCCATGCCTTCATCAAACTAGGAGATCCTGAAGGATACAGACTAACCTCATCAGGCGTGGCACTCTCCAAGAACAGAGATGCCCTCTTGATTACTCTTGGGTAACCCTCATCCATTTGTTCTTCATAAGCACACACCACATCTTCCCTTCTTCTCAACCTCCCTGTGGTGTTCAACAATGGCTTACACCTGGAAGGTGTGAGCTACCTCAATCTCCCAAACAAATAAATACCAAGTAGGCCCTCTTGACACATACCGCAGGGGTTCAGGGCAGGGACACTTTCCTTCCATCATGTCACAGACTGCAACTCTGATGGTCTCATGCCGGATACATTCATTGTAGTTTTTGCTGTCTCCTGGATGTCTCTCCTGAAATGTGACAGAAGATGTCATAGTAATCAAGTACAAATTACAGGCAAGTAGGAGCAAAGCTGATGGAAAGAGACTTCAGGAGTCACAGAAGGTAGAGAACTCAAATTGTGATCTAAGAAGATATTTTTCCCATTGTATGGCAGATCCATGAAGAGTAACTAGGTCTTCATTTTTTTTTTTTTTGAGATGTTTTTGCTATAGGGCGCGTGTGCTCGCCAGACAGAGACAAAGAGATAGAAAGCGAGAAATCACCCCCCCAGGGGGTATGGCCATGCCGCAATCCCTTCTCCTCCACTCTCCTCTCGGGATCTTGAGCACACATGCACATGCACCCGGCATGAGTTTAAGCCACTGAGTCTGGGACGCAAACTGCGGTCAACTATGTGGGAGTCCAGTGACAGCCATTACGCTAACCGCTGGTTCCACTAAGTCTTCATTTTTTTTTTTTTGAGAGGTTTTTTGCTATAAGGCGCGTGCGTTCGCCAGCCAGACAGAGATAGAGAGATAGAAAGCGAGAAATCACCCCCCATGGGGGATGGCCACGCCGCAATTCCTTCTCCTCCATTCTCCTCTTGGGATCTTGGGCACGCACGCACACACGCCCGGCGTGAGTTTAAGCCACCGGGTCCGGGACTGGAACCGCGGTCGACTACGTGGGAGTCCAGCGACATAGCCATTGCGCTAAATGCTAAGTCTTCATTTTGAGACCATTCAGCCTATGTGCAAATGTGTTTGTGTGTACATATATTTATGTCTGTATATATGCATGAATGTATGTGTGTATATGTATATGTGTGTGTGTGCATGTGTGTATACATATAAGAACACCAACATCCACCCTCTGTTTTAAGTCATTTGACCTATGATCAGCAAACTTGATCCATCAAACTTTCCTAAATCTGAATTGAAAGGGCTATCAGGTAAAGACTAAGAGGAAACTAACTAAACACAAGAACAATGATGGGGTTGGGAACCAGCAGTTAGCATAATGGCTATGTCGCTGGACTCCCACGTAGTTGACTGTGGTTCACGTCCTGGACCTGGTGGCTTAAAACTCACGCCGGGCGCATGTGCGTGCATGCCCAAGATCCCGAGAGGAGAATGAAGGAGAAGGGATTGCGGCGTGACCATCCCCTTGGGGGGTGATTTCTCGCTTTCTGTCTCTTTGTCTCTCTCTGGCGAGCGCACGCGCCCTATAGCGAAAACCTCTCCAAAACAAAAAACAAAAAAAGGACAATGGCGTGGTGGTTAAAGGTACTGGATTCCCACATGGCAGACCACAGTTCGAGTCCCGGACCTGGCAGCTTGCTTTCTTGCTTTCCCTTTCTCTGGTCAAATAAAAAAATAATAACGAATGGAATTAAATAATTTTTTTTTTTTTGAGAGGTTTTTGCTATAGGGCATGTACGCTTGCCAGAAAGACAAAGAGACAGAAACCAAGAAATCACCCCCTGGGGGGATGGCCACGCCACAATCCCTTCTCTTCGGGATCTTGGGCACACATACACATGTGCCCGGTGTGAGTGTAAGCCACCGGGTCTGGGACTCGAACTGTGGTCAGCTACCTGGGAGTCCAGCGACATAACCATTACGCCAACTGTTGGTCCCAATAAATAATTCTTTTTTTTGGGAGGAGAAGTTTTTGCTATAGGGTGTGTGCACTCGCCAGAGAAACAGAAACAGATAGAGAGACAGAAAGCAAGAACTCACTCCCCAGGGGGGATGGCCACGCCGCAATCCCTTCTCCTCCATTCTCCTCTCGGGATCTTTGGCACACATGCATACATGCCCGGTGTGAGTTTAAGTCACCGGGTCTGGGACTAGAACTGCAGTCGACTACATGGGAGCCCAGCAACCCAGCCATTACACTAACTGCTGGTTCCCCCAATAGATAATTCTTAAAATAAAAATAAAAATTAAAAAGAACAATGGTGGGACAGAAAGGTATAAAAATGACTTTGGGAGTCTGTGTGTAAAACATTTATGCCTCAACAAGTAAAGGATGCTTCTTGGACTGGACCAGTCTATAGTTCTACTGTTACTGAACCAACTATAATAAGTCTATCACAAGTAAAACTAGAATTTTCAGAAGAACTAGAACTTTGCCTAGAAAGCTAACAGGTATGAGTGGGTGTGAACGGAAGGGAGAATGGTCTTCTTTCTTATAACTCCTGCCATCAAGACCTGGCCTTTGGTAAAAAAAACAAAACACATGACGACCAATAAAGAGAAATATATCTTCAGCCTTCAAACATGGTTCCCAGTGAAATCTGCGGAATGGTGAGAGAGTCTAACTTCTAAGGAGAACCACACTAATCCACACCTGTCAAATTCTATGTGAACTACTAGCTTGGAAGTAGGTAGTTAACAGTGACTCCTCCCTTTTTAACTTCACAAAGGGCACACGTGCTCACCAGAGATGGAGACACACATGCTCACCAGAGATGGAGACACAGAGAGAGAAGCAGCTTCAATGACTGTCACACAGCAAGCCTTTTCTCATCCCATCAGGGTTTTAGACACACATGTGTGCACGTGCATGTACATACCCACCCACCCAGCATGTTTTTCAAGTTGCTGGGGCTAGGACTCAGACTTTGGTTGGCCACGTGAGGGGATATGGCCCCCTTAACCACTAGGCTATGGGGCCAGTCTGACAGTTGAGTTTTGTTTTGTTCTTTTTAGAATTATTTAATTTTATTTATTATTACTATTATTTTTAAATTTGATATAGGGCACATACATTCACTAGAGAGAGAAAGAGAGGGAAAGCAAAAAAGCAAGCTGCCAAGTCTGGGACTCAAAATGCAGGGAGTTCAGCCCCTTAACCACCACACCACCTGGGGGCTCCAGTAGCTCAGTTTTAACATTACATTCTATTCTTTTCAATGACACATTATCTTTGCAAAGCTGGATCTGGGACTACTGCTTTGAGAAAAGGCAAGTAGCATATGAAAACAGTGGGGCTGGGGCCAGCAGGTGGTGTGGTGATTAAGGCAGCTGGACTCCCACAGTTCAAGTCCCAGACCTGGTAGCTTGCTTTCTCACTTCTATTTCTCTGGTCAACCTCAAAAAAAGATAATGAGTAATATTAAATAAAATGTTATTTAAAAAATGCTTAAAAAAAAAAAGAAAAACAAAAACAGTGGGGAACAGGAAATGAAGGTGATGAGGTCCAATCCAATTCCAAGATTTTAAAAGTTGCGCAGTGTCTGGGACCAGCAAATAGTGTAGTGGTTATGTCACTGGACTCTCATGAGACCAACTATGGTTCGAATCCTGGACCTGGTGGTTTAAAAATCACACAGGGCACATGTGTGTGCGTACCCAAGATCCCAGGAGGAGAATAGAGCTGAAGGGACTGTGGCATGGCCATCCTCCCTGGGGGGTGATTTCTCACTTTCCCTTCTACTGTTTCTCTCTCATACACATGCCCTAAGGCAAATATCTCTTAAAAAAAAATTAGGCTTTTTTTTTGGAGACTCTTTTTGCTATAGGGTGCGTGTGCTTGACAGAGAGACAGAAAGAGACATAGAGATAGAAAGCAAGAAAACACCCCCTAGTGGAGATGCCCATGCCGCAATCCCCTTTCCTCCATTCTCCTCTTGGAATCTTGGGCACGCATGCACACACGCTCAGCGTGAGTTTAAGTCACCGGGTATGGGACTCTTAACAGCGATCGGCTACATGAGAGTTCAGTAACACAGTCACTACACTAACTGCTGGTCCCAGAATTAGGCTTTTTAATCACTGAAATGGAATTATTTTCTTTGAGCATAACAGGACCTTTTCCCAGTGTTCATGAATAACTCAAGAAGGAACTTTGGTGGGCTGGCCCCATAGTGTAGCAGTTAAGCACTGTGCACAGGAGCTGAGTCCCGCACGGCTGACCGTAGTTTGAATCCTGGCACTAGAGGCTTGAAATGTGTGTACATATCCAAAATCCTGGTGAGACAGAGAAATGGAGAAAAGACTGTGGTGTGACCACACCACTGCGGGGGTGCTTTCTCCGTTTCTTTCTCTCATGAACACACATTCCTTTGGCAATCTATAAACAAACAAAACAAAACACACACAGAGAGACACAAAAAACCACTTTGAAACAGTAAACAGAACTTGGGTTTCAGTGCAAATCCTGGGTCCTATACTGACCTGTGCACCCTTATGAAAGTTAATTAACCTCGAAGCCACTATTACTTTACTTAAAAATGGGGATAGCAGTATTTACCTTACAACATCAGCACAAGGATTAAACCAGAAACTGCATGTAAATAAACTTGGCAGTGCTTGGTAAATAGCACACCCTTGAAAAATGTGTTTTTAGGACCAGCAGAAGGCATAATGGTTATGTTGCTGGAATCCCACATAGCTGACCATGGTTCGAGTCTTGGACCTGATGGCTTAAAACTCACGCCAGACGCATATGTGTGCATGCCCTAGATTCCGAGAAAAGAACAGAGAAGGGACTGTGGTGTGGCCATCCTCCCTGGGGAGAGATTTTTGCTTCTGTCTCTCTGGAAAGCGCACGTGCCCTATAGCAAAAACATCTCAAAAAAAAAAAAAAACAAAAAAAACAAAAAAAACAAAAAAAACAAAAAAAACAAAAAAAACAAAAAAAACAAAAAAAACAAAAAAAACAAAAAAAACAAAAAAAACAAAAAAAACAAAAAAAACAAAAAAAACAAAAAAAACAAAAAAAACAAAAAAAACAAAAAAAACAAAAAAAACAAAAAAAACAAAAAAAACAAAAAAAACAAAAAAAACAAAAAAAACAAAAAAAACAAAAAAAACAAAAAAAACAAAAAAAACAAAAAAAACAAAAAAAACAAAAAAAACAAAAAAAACAAAAAAAACAAAAAAAACAAAAAAAACAAAAAAAACAAAAAACCAACAAACCCACAAAAGCTTCCTAAGGGTCTAGTTTCAAGACTAGTAGGGTGGTAATGTAATGGTTCTAAACTCTGATTCACAAGTAGTATGTTAACAAAACCAAACCTTTAAAAAAAAGAAAAATGTATCTTTTTTCACCTTCATGTTGGCAGCATTGACTGAAATATTCTTGTCCTAGCTAATGCTGAGCTTTTGTGGCTCTGCAGATAATAGTACTTTATAACTCTAGAAGAATGGCTGGCTGGGTAGCAGTCATGAGGAAATACCTTGTGGAGCAAAGAGATACAGAAGAACCCACTGGCTGCAACAGCTTCCAAAGCAGGCTCAGAATTAATTTCTGGCAACTTCACCCTCTTCCACGATCTCACTATGGGACACATAATGACAGCCTGGGCAATGAAGGACTGCATATATTACAGTGGTACTAGAAAGAACATACAGACTATGCCCATAGGGTATGTGTGTAATAAGCCATACCATTTAACTATCTCTTTCTCTTTTTTTAAAGAATTAATTGGGGCCGGCAGGTGGTGCAGTGGTTAAGGGCGCTGGACTCCCACATGGCTGACCATGGTTCGAGTCCTAGATCTCGCGGCTTGCTTTCCCACTTTCTCTCTCTCTGTCCTTCTCTGGTCAAATTAAAATAAATAATAAAGTTAAATAAAACATTTTTTTTTGGAGAGGTTTTTGCTATAGGGTGCATGCGCTCGCCAGACAGAGAGAGAGAGAGAGAGAGAGATAGAAAGCGAGAAATCATCCCCCAGGAGAGATGGCCATGCTGCAATCCCTTCTCCTCCATTCTTCTCTCGGGATCTTGGGCACGCACGCACACGCGCCTGG